TGGAATTTGGAAGCTTTTAGCTTATTATAAGCGTGAACGATACGCCACTTGCCGTTCGGCTTCCGGACACAAAACGTGGGTGTAGAATGGGGAGACTTGCACTCACGCACCATACCTGCCTCGTGCTTCGCACGGAAAATGCATCAATGACGTTACACTGCTCCTTGGGCAGGGGCGATTGATGTGTGTTACGCAGTATTTGGCTTTCGGAACCAGATCAATCTCATGACGCACACCTCGGTCCGGAGGTAGGACCACGGCGGGTCTTTGGAGACGACGTCTTGTAACTTATTTACCAATGGATAGTACGAATCCGAGGGTTCCATCAGGATCAGCGATCCACTTCAAGCGTTCCGCACCCTCTTAAAGTCCTCCGGGACAGCTTCATCCAGAAGCGACGACGAGTTAATCTCCTCGATTGGTCGTATAATGATCATATCGGTTAAATTGGCTGCCTTCAAGGCTCCGACAAACTCTTCGAAGGACATTTCGTCAGGCTCAAGAAGAGCATCCACCGCGAGAATAGCCTCGAGTGTGACTTCACCGTCTTTCTCTCCTGACATACCGTCGACAAGGGTATATATCTGTGCGCTATCGTCTACGGTAGACACACCCTAGGACAGGGTCGACGCCATGCGTTTTGCAGATAACATACGGCTGCGCCGTCTTCTCTCTAAAGCGGGTTCACGTCTCGTCGAGACCATTAAGAACACGCACTCAGCGTCCTCCAGCGTCCCCACTCCCTGCTTCATAGGAGCCTGGATGTATAAACAACATTCGACTAAGAGCTGCGATACTGCAGTCTTCGTCCAGTGAATAACGCCACTCCATGCGCATCAGCCCAAAATGCCTCGGACCTCGTTCGACCATGCCACTCTTGGCATGCAGCAGCTGCTCTGAAACGTGGGCATTGCTCAGTGGGTTACGTGCCACTCCACGTGCATCACAAGGGCCTCGTCCTTGATGCCTCGGACTTCGTCCGACCATGCCACCCTTGACATACAGCAACTACTTCGAAACGTGAGCAGCGCTCAGTGGGCTACGTGCCACTCCACATTCAGCCCACGAACCACGCTCGGGACTCCTGTCCCAAACACCTTTAGTGTTCGACACCACGGATGCTCTGATATCCAGCACATTGACTATCCTGGTCCAGTGCTCGCGCCACCAGCGCTTCTGCTTCCTAGCAGAGGTGGATTCATGACTCACCAAAGTTCCACTAGGAAACGTGCGCGTAGCGCCAAAGGTCTTCGACCTCCAATCAGTCCATGGCTCATGGTGTGTCAACCATGTCATACTATGGATGAGGTCATACCTTGCATCCAAGTCTAAGACTAGGTAGCGTTCCACGCTATCAAAGTCAAGGAGCTTACACCGAGATCCACAGGGACCCTCGGCACAGTGAGAAAAGCCCCCATCGCTAAGCGAACGGTGACGGCGTCACCCAACCGCGCTTTCAGCGCCTCAGCACACAGCTGACTTCCTTCGATCGTAGAGCGTCGAGCATAACTGCCCGACGCCTCGATATCGATAAGGATTTCCATGGCTTTCTTTCCGTGTTCAAGAGCGCGCAGCTCTTCGGGTCTGGTCTTTGCTGCCCTCTACCTCTTTGAAGGTCAACATAAACCAGTTCTTCCCCTGTTGAGCGCCCGAAGCCAACTGGGTTTTCTCGTTTCCCCGCGACAAACCAGGCAGGTAGAAGCGGGACGTCGGATCAACGAACCTTTACGCGCCTAGCGCAGGAGACAACTTGTCCGAAGGTGACGGGCGTCTCCACAGAGAATACCGTCGGGTGTTTACACGCTGCTCAGCAGCTCGGAGCTCTCCATCCTCCTTCCCGGCATAGCTGAGATCTATTGCTGGTCGAGCTCTGAGGTTGTGCATTCTGTGAGGATGGAGGAATATTCCTGTTTGCCCGCAACAGGAATATTCCTCAGGACGGACTTAACAAGCTGATGTACCTATTTGGCCCTGAGGGCGTGGGGCATATCGTTGCGCAAAGGCCTGAGACCCAAAGTGTACCTAGAGGCGTCTTCAACTTATGAAATAGCTCTGTTAGAGCACTTACAGCAGAAGCTGTCAGCGTCGACTGCGTCTTTGACGCCACCATCGACGACGGATGATTTCATTCGACCCAGGTCGCTCTTGGTGAGCGTTTAGACCTTTGAGGGTAAAAATGGAGAGAATATCCTGCTCTGGATAAGAGAGGCCGAGATGACTTTGGCATCCACCATGCTTCAAAATGAAACGAGCAACAGCGCGTGGCGCTAGCTATTTTCAAGCTCGGGGGCCGAGCGCGAGAATGGACACTGACGTGCGGCACTTCGGTTAATGTGGCTTTCCCCTCCTGAAAGGAGCTGAAGTATCAGCTTCTGCGAGTGTTCTCGTCATCCAATCAGGCATATCGCGTGAGATCGCGTTTCTTTGTCGACCGACAGGACATAAAGGAGTTGGTTCAAGCGTTGCGCACTTTCGTTGCCGGGATGACAGCCAATCCTCTCACCGAGGCGGTCGCAGTGACCGTCTACGTGGGGCCTACGCACTGGCGTGGCCAGGATGGAAGTCTTCCGTGTGCATCCGCCATCTTTGAAGAAGCGGTGAACGTGGCATTGAATGCTGAATTCAACTTCAAGTCGGCGCGACTTGTCTGTTACGGTGTAGCCACATCACTGAGTGATTACACTTACTTGTGTAGTACACCTATAGGGTACGTGTATCCCCGTTACATCCATACCGCGAGGGCTGCTTGGAGTGCAGGAGGTAGAACCTCTGCGAGCACTTTAGAGGCGACTAAGTTGGAAAGGTCAATAGGTATGATTTTGCCGACCAGGATCTTGGTACTAGCAGATGTTACGTCTGCCCTTACTTTCTCCATGATGGAGACGGACCATTCGTGGTGATGGAGAATAAAACATGATCATAGTAGAGTTATAGTGTAAGAAAAATCTATGCGATAATGTATATCCTCGCTTACCATCCCCTACGCCGCCATTTAACCCACATCATGTCAGTTGGTTTACTGAGCTCAGAAGTGATAGAGCAATCAGAGTTAAACTGCTGCCTCAAATGTGGTTTTTTGGCGGACGGCACAAACTGCAACTCTCCATGATTCACAATCGAACTGAACGAGTTCACATTATAAAGCTGTGGATGCTGCGATCGAAAAATCATTGCCGTATGTATAGCTTGCCCGATTGTCGATCGCAGATAGCATTCTTTCCAACAGCTAAAAATGCGCCGGTTGAATTCTCGCCTTTTCCTGGTAGAAATTACTAGAAGAATGGCGCGTTGTTGCATTCTCAAGAGCTTAAAATTTGTTTGCAAAGCAGTTTTGAGAGCTTTTATACAATGTTCGGTATCTTGGTTTAGCATGCCATGCCGTTCTCTTTCCATATCCGTAACCTCTTGCTGTGTTCGAATTTGCGATTCAAAAGTTCTTTGCAGACTTTCATAAGCAACTTTCTGCGTTTCAATCAGTTCCAGAACTTTAGGAATCTCCGTTTTGATAACGTCGTTGCGCACTGATACGATTCGCATACGCTCGCTTGTACAAATTTGTCGAGCGCTTTTCAAAATTTCTTTTGCTTTACAGCTGCACCTTGATATATCCGTTTTAATTCCCTGAAGTTGAGCTTGAGTGTTTTCGTGACGTTCAACAGTGGATCGCCCTTTTTCTTCTCTAAAAAGCGACACCCAAGTGAGGAATGTGCCTTGCAGTAGGAATTGTTTCTCCCACATCTCCTGTCGATTTTGTCTCCAATAAATTGCTCGATTCCGAGACAGAACTAGGCGATACATTCGTCGCTCTAATTCCTGAATCTCTCCATGCAGAAGCTTCTGTTGCTCTCGAGAGGTAGTGAGATCTGAAAGCTATATATTGTCGTGAAATTGCAATTAAAAGATGCCAAGAGCTTTTTGCTAGCTTACAGTCAGCTCTGAGCGCACTGATGCTGCCTGTATTTCGCTTTGCATACCAGCTAATCGATCCAAAAGTTCTTTCATCGCCGTTGCCTGTATTCGCATTGTGAACAAACAAGAAATCGTACAAGACGGCTCAAGAACTTACCTGACTCTTTGCTCGCGAAGTATGCTCTTCATTCGTCACTTCTAATATTTTAATGTTATGATTCGCGCTGTTCAAGGAAGCCGTACATTTGCCTAACTACAAAATTGACATGTGGAAGTCTGCACTAATTGTTTCAAATAAGCGAAGGCAAACCTCAGAACTAAGTTTTCGTGTCTCGCTCATGAGTTCACTAATCTTATATTGATCATCTCTCTGCTGACGCTTGCTACCCTCACGGAACTTTTGAAATTCATCTTCACGCTGTGTAAATTTGTCTTTAGAAAGGATATGACTGTACCAAAATTGTATCTCCTCACCTTCAAACTCTCGATACGCTGAATTTCCAGCGTTTTAAGAATCTGATGGGACTTTGCCTCTGCCGCGTCGCGCATCGCTTCAATGCGAAACTTTTCTGCTCGGAGCTTGGCAACTGTGTGTTGAAGCTCAGTCTCGTTGCCTCGTCGAGTTTCCAGTTCACACTCGAGCTTTCGAACTAGCGATCCATGAGCCTCCATTTCCCGACTGCGAGCATCTTCAATCTAGCAATTATAACTCTGTCGGTGGTACGAAGGCTCACAGATTACATGTCAATTTCTCTTCTCTGCACCTGGTGGAGTCGCGCCCGTAAAGAGCAGGCACATGCCTCTCCGGTGGACATACCAGAGCCGACAAGGATTTCCTATTTTTGTTCGTAATTTCGTTTCTCAAATGCTCCTGTGTTCGATGAAACTCCAATTGAATCGTCGACGATTAAGTTCTACAAAACCACAGTCATCTCTTTCGATTATTGAATTTTGATTTAGATCGTTTAAGACGCCGCTCACTTGCCGCGCTCAATTGTGGTAATTACTCATACACAGACTCACATTTGCTTTTTCTTGAATGCGGTACCGATCGCACTGATAGTCGGAGTGAGTCGTGTACAGAAGTCTGAGTGAATAAATTTTAAGTCAAACCAAGCCAATCCGAAATTTCGTTGGATGCAGCATAATTGAAATCTTTCACCGGGTGCAACGTAGACATGGGGAAGATGCCGGTCCAAACACCTGATGTATCCTTTCTGACCGTCTGTGATAGCTCGTCGCCGAAAAAACTATATCAAGTAGGAGAGATAAATGCGGTTAGAAGTCTTATTTGCATGCGGTAAGTAGATTCCGCTGGTTATCTGTCGATTCGTCGAACCTAGTGATAACGTGATCAAAATGCCAGTTTGGATGCTGCGACCGCGTAATGAACTACCAAAAAGAAGAGTGTTTGAGGCTTTCGGTGGTGACTAATTTTGATCGGCTTTTTGGGATGCGGCAGTAAAGGGCCGTAGTGTTGCATTTGGGCACCTTTTGGGCTTTGAAGGCGCCATGATCAATTGCGCAGCAAGCGAGGAGGTGTCAGAATTGTATGCAAGTTAAAGTCACTGCGTGTCTATATCTCAAGTAATAACCGAGACCAATTTCACGTTTTCATGCGGAATCGATCCTTAATCAGGTAGTCAATTGTTTCGAAATATTCTCTTACGCATGGCAAACTTGCGTGAATGAAATCGACGCTCGGTTATCATTTTTGGCTGTTAGTTGTCAATATATACTTTGTTTCCCCGTCCGCAACTTTATCAAACTGTTTTAATATAACCGAACAGGACGTGCTTCCAGGTAAAAAGCCGTGATAGTGGTAATCATCCAGTCATTTTGATGTTACGCTAGCTGTTGGAGTTGTATAACAGGGCCATGCGTATTGAGAAATAAATGAATACGGTTATTAAAGCAAAAATTAAGAGTAACTGAATAGTGGTAATAGTAATGTATGTCATTGTGGTTAATGCAGCATTTGGGATGGAGTAACCACGTTAAACGGAGTTTTCATTGCAATGACCAAGAGTGTTACGTAAGCAGGTCCAGAACGTTTGACCTCATTGCAAGTGACAAATTTAAACTTCAATTTCAGATGAAGTGCAATTTTAGCTGTAACAGATGCGACCCTTGTCGTACTATATCGGCGACGAGTTGAAGTGCATTCCTCTTAGTATTTTTGAAGATTTGTGCTCTGACCTCAAATTTTATAGAATCGGTAACTTAATTGAGCTTTTAAACCCAGTGTTATCATAAGATGGATCGTTATTAGCTGGGTGAAGGATCTTACTACAATGTGGGAGTTCATTGGCATATTATCCGGACTCTTAACGTCAAGTATTCGTGGCGATTTGACGCGTGATACCGAAAGGTTTGCTGTCGCCTCGTGTTGACTACAACCATGATAAACGTCCCCGATCATTCAAGTTACTGTGTAGAATGCAGTGTCTATATATCTGCAGCGCCTCGGTCCAATGCATAATTTATTTGGCAATCCTACTTCAAGCTTTGAGGAGTGCGGCAGCCTCTTGATAGGCGAGATCTTCACCATTGATGAAGCTACATCCTGGAAGCTATGGAAAGCGTGAAGTCTTAAGCTCTGAAATATTCGTAGTATTAAATTTGGATAATTGATGTAAGCTACTTAAAATATCAATTCGAAGTTCCTAAGGTTATATATCATACAATGGCAGGTGCCGATGCTCTGCGCGATATGGAGACACGTGCCATCCGCGAGGCGCAGCTAGAAACATATACTAGCAACTTGGGCTCGGTAGCACTGATGCTTGCAGCATTTCTGTGGCTGACATTGCCTCCATTATGGAGTGTCGTCAACGGCGAGTGGAGCTCTGCCATCTTGCCCAGTCTGTTGGCTACTGCAGGTCTACTGACAAAATAGTCTCTCAACACAATAATCACTCAAGTGAACTTTTTGATCTTGTAGGTCACGGAGTCTTCGTGGTATCGGTGCTGCTAGTGATGCGAGTGGCACAAGTGCAGGGGGAAGAGCTGCTTATTCAATTTAATGCTAAGGTAAGCAAATGGTAATGTGTTCAATAAAGTTGTGTTTAACAAAGTTGCAATATTTATCGCTATTGCAGTACTTGGCTCGAGCTAACAAGTCCGAAGCTATCACTACCTCACTAAGTGGCTCTGCACTAAGTATGAGTATAAGTTTGGCCATTAATAGGCGGGTGAGCTGACTACATAAATTCTGTTGTGATTTAGTTGACGAGGTAATGAAGCTCAAGTCACTGCGTGGACAATTATCAGATAACAAAAAAACGTCTCATAAAGGACGGATTCAAGACAGACACTCCTTCTTTGACCCCGCTCCAGTAAAGACTGTAGAGGACGGCAAGGCGTATCTTCGTCGGCTTTTAAAAGCTCAAAAGCAAACTGAATTGGAAGAATCGATGCACTCAACTTCGGTTTACGGCATGGAAAACTCATACCAGAGTGATGCTTTTGGCATATATGGCAATACATCTATGGTTCCTCGTGTATATCAGGCATCAGGATTTGACCCGTACCTTCGTGATATTAATATTGGAGAGGAGGAGGATCCACTACGTACATCATCGCTTCCGCACATTGCGTGGCAGCAACTTGAAGAGTGGGGACTTGCCATGTTTATGCATTTGTATTGCCGCAACATTCGTCGCTTGCTAGCGTATCACGTGAAAGATGTGGTTGAGGCATTTCTCGATAATGCGAATGCACTGAATAATTGCGGCGTCATGGCAGACGTTTTACTTCGTCGTGTGCCATCGCAGGCGATACTCTGTCCGCCGGGTCAGACCAATCAAATGACGAATGTGTCGCTTTCGGACATGTTGCGAAATCTCGCGAAAGATCCACTGTTTTATAGTCAAGAGCGAGGGGTGTATCTGTTCGAAGAGCATCAAAGTGTACGCTTGATATCCTTGCTATCAAGTCTTTAGAACGATATGTATTGACTTCACATTTCTATGATGATAAAGTTTGAAAAATATTTGAATGTGGGTGATCCAAGCAGTACAGACTATGCTTCACTAGAGCGTCAACAATACGTGCTAGAGCGGCTCATCATGTTGTCAAAAGATCGTAGTCTTGATCGGTATCGTTGGAATAAGGGCTCGACCTGGAAGGGCAAAGATTGGGCTGACAGCTTGCCTACAGATGCGGAGATTTTAATGAACACATTCTGCTGTCTGATGGATAACATGCTACCAGCAGACAACGGGCGTGATCGGCCATTTTGGAAATCTTATTATTTCAACAAGGGCCCGAACAGACCATTTACACTACAAGTTCGAAGTCGGCTGTTCCTCGTAAAAACAGTAGCGCGTCCACCTCATTTTAAGGCGCTGGTCAAGGGGGCGGTCCGGGAGATTGTTCCGGTGCGTATTTATTTGGTTATACTCTCGTTTCGCTGGATTTATTTTGTGATTGTCTGTAGGGAGAGGAGAATTGTTTTCATGCAATCGTCGTTTATCTCCATGCTGTCAAAAAGATGAAAGCCGTACGTTATCCTTTACGCTCGAGTCTATAATCGTATCCTGATTATCAGTTGTGTGGCTACTGCTAATTTGCTCAAATATACAGGGCTACTTGGAGAGCATCAATCTGCACCGAATTTTTGAGCAAGTCTTTGACGTTTCCAAATAGATTACGCCAGCAATTAAATGTGTATTTTGCCTGAACCTGACGCTTCACACTGATGTTACCTGCAAGCTGGCTGCGTGCATTATGCTTTTTTCCTGCTATTCAAATTGACTGGACAGGAAGGTCCCTTGATGGTGCGTACTCTCATTGCTTTCACGAAACTGCTTTGCGCTGCATAGAAAATGACGGTTTACCTCCCGTCGTTTTGTACATTAACCACTCTTGCCATAAGATTAGCTGGTAAAGCGGGTGTAGCAGATGTCGCACTCAAATGTCTCCTTACATGTAGCAATTCCACTGGATCATTTTTTCACAAGTCTGGAGACACTTAAAATGGTTCCACAATCGAATCATCTTCACCTCTAAATGATCGATCTACTCTTTTGTGCGCGTATCATGTCGTGGTCTGGTAAGTTTTCTCATCGCTATTCAAAGAGATCATCGTGTGGAGCAATCAGTGACCAAAAAGTTACCGCTTTTGAGGGTAAAACATGTGTGAGCGGACTCACCGATACAGGGCTGAGTTGAATCGGCCATTATAGACTAACTATCTGCGACTTCACTGCATAGTGGAGGGTCACACCGTTGTAATACTGGTAAAAAGAAGCTCAGCCGTCTGACTTGGTTGCGAGAGTATCGACGTTGTTAAAGCATATTCGTAAAAATACATAAACATTTGTGGCCCCCTGGTTGCAGCAAGTTGTGCTCGTCCCGAGCACCAATGCCATTCCATTCATATACACACAAACACAAGTAGGAGTCGGACAGATGTCCTCGTATAAGCGCTAAATGTGAACGACTTGCCACATCCAAAATAAATGCGAAGAAATCTGTACACGCAGCTAAAAAACGCTTGCGGTTCCCCATGGTCATTGCTGTTCTTAAAACTTGTTACAGCAGTAGAATTGTCAAAGAGCGCGTTGACAAGAATGGTAGCGTTTTGCTCGAAATCATTGCTCAGCGTTATAGATGATTCAGTAGCCTTTTCCTCCATTGTCAGTGGCTTTTTTGACAAGCTTTCGTTACATGAAGTGCTTGCTTCATTATCGACAGCTTTTTCAATCATAACATTAACAGACTTTGATCCAGCCAAAAACAATTTCTTACGTCACTGCGGCGAAAATCGGGTAAAACGCCTGCATCGACCGGAAGCCTGCAGTCACAGTATATGTTCTCGAACATGTTCTGTGCTAGGAACGTTTGTCAGCGTAGGGTATGATCGCAGCCAAATACCATAACAATGTTGGATCAGGAAAAAGCGGGTAAGACGCTAGCCCAGGATCAGAGAAACTGTGGACAAATGCCGGTGTTGAGGGATAATCGATCAGACAACGATTAAATTAAACTATATGCTGCAAGTCTATTGTATTTTAGAATATGTCCGACGTAGGAGCTAAATGTCAAGCTCCTTGATGCCCAGCCACTTCGTCATATATAGACACGAGCGCGGCGAAATAACATTACCTTCCTGGCACTGGGCAAACACCTATAAATAAAACAACACAAAATGTGATACCAGAACGAAAATTTGTCTCGAAACTCAAGACGTAGACGTACCGGACATACGCCACACGGAGTGTCGGACAAATAATTAAAGGTGGTGATCTGTTGCGAAATTTTGTACTTGGTCTCGTGAGAAGTCTGGAGAATCGGACGTGAATATGTGAGGCGAGTTATAATTGAGACAGATTCAAACAAACGTCACGTACACCAGGCGTTAGCCGCACTGAACGCACTTCTTCAACACGACCATCATACATGAGCGTCTGAATGATAGAGTAGATTTCCTCTGGACCGAGCGCTACCTTAGAGATACCCGAAGCATGCACTTTGTCGGTAATTGAGTGCAAAGTACTCATTCCTGATGCCTTGATCACTTCATAGACAAAAGTGCTGAGTGTGTCGATGAATTCGTGATCGAACTCTTGCTCATTGTACCATGGACCACCTGTGATCTCCGTCGAAGGCACTGGTAGTAGTTTACGTTAGTAACATACTAAGTATTGTCATTCGTTCAATGAGACTTACCCAAGTCAAATAGCATATATAGCTTTTTGTTTTTGCTGCTGATCGACTTGACCGACTTGACAAGATGACGGGTCTCCAGGAGTCGCAACGTCTTGGTCACAAGTTGCTAATTCACCAGGGCATATAAGTCCCGCCAACTCTTTTTTATTATCATCAAAACATCTAAGCACACCTGCGGAATATTTGTGTTTGACTTAATGTCTCTAGTCCAAATGCCTTTATTACCTGCACGCTCTATTTCCTGCAGCACCAAACGTTGCTCCAATCTGTGGCGTGTTCATCGCATACAATATCAAGTCATTTCTATCCGACCAAGTAAATCTTTGGGAAACGTACGTGAGTCCACGAACGCGTTCGGCTTCCTCAGCATCAACAATTCCATAAGACAGAACGTTCCCCTTCTTAAATATCTTGATCTTGCCCTCAGTGAGCAACGTATTGATTACTTCCGGTAGCTGGTCGTAGCCACCGCCACCTTCCGTCTGAAAGTAATCACGTACTTCAGCGTCAGTCACAGACTCTCGATAGTTGCGTAATAGACCTAAAAACTTGGTCATGACGCTAGGTGCGCCCTTGGGCATTGACGAAGCCATGGCTGGGATGACAAATGATAATCGTAGAGTTACAGCATTTAATTGGTTTAAAAACTAATGACATCCTCTATAATATGCTGACCAACCAGTGACAACACTTTTAATTTTGTGAAATGAAGTTCGCTTACCAATTCAAGCATTTGTGTGGAAGCGTCTATTCTCAAGGCAATGTCATCTTTACACCTGACGGGAATTCAGTGTTGAGTCCTGTAGGCAATCGCGTCACTCAATTTGATCTCATCAAGTGCGTTTACAGAACGATATACTGAATATATCATACAGATTGACTTATCCTAAATGCCAATGTACCTTGCAGTAACACTTCACGGACTTTTGCCTTTGAAGCTCGTAAAAACATTGAGCGAGTTGCAGTTTCGCACAACTCACGGTTGCTACTTATTGTGGATGAGGATGGTCGTTGTTTATTGATCAATTTAAAGCGCGGTGTTGTACTTTACCGTTTCCACTTTAAGCAGCGTGTTACGGCTTTAAATTTCAGCCCCGATGATCAATACATTGCTGCTGCAATCGGTAACAAGGTACAGCTGTGGCGCACGCCTGGGATTGTACGTGAATTTGCTCCATTTGTGCTGCACCGAACATACACTGGACATTATGCAGATGTGGTTAGCGTGTCATGGTCGCACGATGCAAAGTTCTTTGTAACGAGTGCAGAGGATCTTTCAGCACGTGTATTTTCAGTTGATTCATACCCAAATTTCAAGCCTTTGACCCTCTCAGGCCACCGCGATGTGGTCGTGGGCGCGTTTTTCGCGCAAGATGACAGATCGATTTTTACAGTTGGACGCGATGGAGGAGCTTTCGAATGGAAATACAAATTGCCGTATGCCGAAAAGACGGAACAAACGACGGATGAAAGTGAGGAGGAGCAGAATGAAAATGATGAAGAAAGTGAAACAGTCGAGAACACGAAAAATAGTCATTTGAGTTGTGGTGATGACGAAAGCAAAAGTGAGAATGAAATCGCTAGTAAGACACGCAAGCGTAAACTATCACAGTCGACCTCTGTTCCAGAAATCGCACGAGCTTACAAATGGTACACTTGTCAAAAGCACGTGCTCAAAATGGACTATGCTAAGGTGCTATGTTGCACCTTTCACTCGTCCACTGGCATTCTTGTGGTAGGCTTTAGTAATGGTACATTTGGTCTGTACGAACTACCTGCGTTTGTGAATATTCACACACTAAGTGTCACGCAAAATGAGCTTGAGACGGTCGCAGTGAATGCGAGTGGGGAATGGCTGGCCTTTGCGTCGCGCAAACTCGGCCAGCTGCTGGTGTGGGAGTGGCGCTCAGAGACATATGTACTAAAGCAGCAAGGCCACTACTTTGATCTAAATGCTGCAAGCTACTCACCGGACGGACGCCTTCTCGCTACTGGTGCTGACGATGCTAAGGTCAAACTCTGGGATACAAACACTGGTTTTTGCTATGTCACATTTACAGAACACTCTGCTCCTGTGACGGCTGTGCAATTTGCTACCTCCGGTCAAGCCGTTCTAAGTGCGTCTTTAGATGGTACCGTACGTGCATTTGATTTGAATCGATACAAAAACTTTCGTGTTCTTACCACACCCGAACCCACGCAATTCCTTTCGCTAGCACTCGATCAGAGTGGACAAGTTGTGTGTGCTGGCTCGATGGACCCATTCAATGTGTACATTTGGTCACTGCAGACTGGTCGTCTCACGGACGTACTAAGCGGTCATTCTGGACCTGTAACGTCACTGGCCTTTTCACCTTCATCGTCTGCTGAGCCCGTTCTAGCATCAGCTTCATGGGACCACACTGTGCGGCTTTGGAATCCGTTTGCCAGCAAAAAGAGCTTTATCGAACCCCTAGCTCACCCCACGGATGTGTTGGCAGTTGCTATTCGTCCAGATGGTAAACAACTAGCATCCACGACACTAAACGGTGCAATCAATATTTGGAATATAGAAGATGGGGAACAAATTGGTACGATTGAAGGAAAGCGTGACATTGCTGGAGGGCGTAAGGAATCAGATCTCATCACAGCGGCTAACAACCAGCTCACAAAGCATTTCACAAGCGTTTGCTATTCGGCAGATGGCTCGCTACTTCTTGCTGGCGGACGCTCCAAATTCGTTTGTATCTATGCAGTAGAGTCGCAGCTTTTGCTAAAAAAGTTTCAGATTTCACACAACCTGTCTCTCGATGGTATCTTGGAAAAGCTTAACAATAAGAACGTAACTGAGAGTGGTATCAGTAAGAGTGCGCTTGATGCACATCTTAATGACTCGGAAATTTCAAGCCACAAAGAAAGTGATGATCTTGTGGGTGCAAAGCGGGCGATTGACCCCGGTAATCGCCGTAAAAACATGGAGGTGCTGTCAAAAGCTGTTCTTTTTTCTCCGACAGGGCGTGCTTGGGCTGCTGCAACCACGGAAGGCCTCTTAATTTACGGTCTCGACGAGAGTCTGGCCTTTGACCCATTCGAGCTGGATGAAGACATCACACCTGAAAATATTTCTCAGGCGCTTACACGCTGCGAATACTCGCGTGCATTAATTATGGCGCTGCATTTAAATGAGGAGCCGCTTATTGCGCGATGCGTGGAAAGTGTTCCGGTTGCAAATATCCTGCTTGTGGCTAAATCGCTGCATTGCGAAATGTATCTACAACGATTGCTGCAGCTGCTCGCTAAGCGGCTGGAATGTAGTCCACACCTTGAGTTTTATCTTCAGTGGAGTCTTGCAGTGCTGAATACGCATGGCCAATCACTGCGGGATGACCCGTCGAACAGCGCTACGTGCCTTCCTCCACTACGCTCATTACAGAAGAGCATTGCGCGTCATCTACAAGATCTTGCTAAGATGTACGTAATCATCAAGTGTAAAGATATGTCATTCTTCCTGTCACTCACTAGCTCTTTGCTCTGTTTAAGATGCGATGACAACCAGTTCACACTCAGTTATCTTAAAAATCTGAGCAAGATGCAACAGACGCTGAAGAACCATTAGAGCAAGGGCAGATTGGATCGAGGTTCGCTTTTTATGAATCTTAATGGTGAAACCGTGTTTAAGAGCCTCTTCATGGTACTCGTACATGCAGCAGTAGAGTTTCACTAGTAAGCTTAAGCTTTTGATAACTCGTTGCGACTAACCTTCCTGTCTTCATCACTTTCAACGCTTGGCCTCCAAATTTTAATGTCTCGATTGGAACCAGATACCAGTAGCGCACGGGCTGGATGAGCTGCAAGTGCAAGCACTGGATGGTCGTGACCAGTCAAGACCGAGGCTACATCTTGTGTGCCCACATCCCACATAAAAATCTGATTGTTCTCCGATCCACAGACAAGAAGTGGACGTGAGTTACATGGCTGCTCCAAGAAAGCGCATTGCATGCTAAACTTGCGGTTTACATGACCGCTATATGTACGCACACAGATGTCATGCATATAGTCCCACAGACGAATTGTACCATCGAGGGTTGAGCTAATTACGTAGCGTCCATTGGGTGTAAAACTTGCACTACCAACAGGTGCTGCCGGTTCTGTGATAATTGTGCGTAAACACTGACGAGAAGCAACATCCCACACACGCACCAAACCGTCATATCCAGCCGTGACCAACAGCGAGCCGTCCAACGGGTGAAAGTGCACACTCGCCACGGGCTCTTGATGAGCATTGATTTCAGCAATTGTTTTACCACAACGAACATCCCAGAGCCTGACGTTTTCATCATAAGAGCCCGTGGCAACCAATGATCCCTGTGGGTTAATAGCCACGCAACTTACAAAGCCCGCATGCGTCTCAACTGGCGGGTCGTTTGACACGACCTCAGCACTTAATTCGTCCTTTTCAAGCCCTAATATTGCGGATGAACCTCCCAAAAGTGACAACGGAGTATTAAGAGCAGCATCCAAGCTTCGATAAGTGGCACCTAAGGTAATCAACGTCTTAGCCGTTTCCACGTCCCAGAGTCGCGCTGTGCGATCGTCCGAGGCCGACGCTAAGTGCCGCGAATCCGGCGACCAGCACGCAGCAGACACACCAGCTTCGTGTCCGTACAGAGAAATCTTAGATGTCGTCTCTAACTCATTAGATACCGTCAAACGCCAGATTTTAACTAAAGAATCGGCCGCTGCGAAGGAAGGACGGTGTTTAGTGGATAAGTTATGTGTCAAAAAAAGCGTTACAAGAAAATAACATACAGGATGAAGCTAAAAGAGTTTCATTAGGAGAGAAGCAGAGACTAGAAATGGGCTTGGCGTGCACAGAGGATGTCTGATGCGCGATCCAAGCTGCAGAAGGTTGCATTATTGGCATTCACCGTTTATCGCTTCCATAAGGTATGCTTAACACAAATATATGGATTTTGATACGATAGATAGCAAATACACTTTTTGGTATCAATTCAAAGAAACAAGTAAGTAAGTAGTCAAAAGATATGACTTTAATCTAATTTGGTCCAGGGTCTTCGAGAACATTAGTGCAGTTGCCCAAAATGTAGCATATCCGTCATTTAATTCAATACTGTCAATACCATGGAGTCTCGATTTGAGGTGTTGGAAGAGGAGACGCACTACCCTGTAGCACATCTTAAGGACGAGACTAATAGTCATCCTCAAGTGTCACTGGAAGAGAAGGAGGAAGAAACGTTGGAGCAGCAGTTAGAGCGTCTCGTGCTCAGTGTTAAGAATGACGATGTGGATGAGGATACATCAGACGAGAAGAATGAAGGCGTCAAAGACAAATCAAAATATGTCAAAAAGGCATCAAGTGCCAAAGAACTCGGCAACAAGTGCGTTTAGATCTTTTTGTCTCCGGATTAAAAGCTGCTAATTTTTACTGTTGGGTATCAGATTTTTCTCACGAGGCAGCTTTTTGGACGCTATCGAGTGCTACACAACAGCACTGAAGCTCTGCCCCGTAGATGAAGAGTATGCATACAATAGAGTGCGTTGAAAATGTTAAAGATTCGCATATTGGAGCTAACACTAGCCACTATGTTAAATGATTTAATACACAGGCAGTCTACTTCAGCAACCGAGCAGCGTGTCTGATGCGCCTTGGGCGGACTGAAGAGTCGGTGGACGATTGTACACAGGCAGTGACTCTTTCGCCTACATATGTGAAGGCTCTTTTACGGCGGGCAGAGGCATATGAAAAGATGGACAAGCTGGAGGAAGCCTTAGCAGATTACAACGCCATCCTCAAGATCGACCCAACGGTGCCCACGGCTGTAAAGAACCATGAGCGACTTCAGAAGGTTGTGCACGAGCGGCAGGAAAAGATGAAGGCAGAGATGTTGGATAAGCTCAAGGGATTTGGTAACACGATCCTGGGCAAATTTGGACTCAGCACCGATAATTTTCAAATGGTCCAGGATCCTGCTACGGGATCGTACAACATTAACTTTCAACAAAACCCAGGACAGCAGCCGTCGAAGTAAATTTTTGCTAGACACCATTAACGTCTTTGTAAACAATCGTGGTCAAGTTTCTTACCGACTTGACTGCATTTTATACACGCGCAAATTATTTTTTCTTGCCTTTCAAGCTAGCTTTGCTTTTCTTGCTACTTTTCTTGCCTTTTCTGCCCTTGGTCATTTTTTTAGTGTACTCTCGGCGGCACAGAATCCCTCGATACACTTTTTGAATTTTGGTGGCTGCGTTGAAGATTTTCTGTACATGACTCAAGTTTTGAGCAAAGTCTTTAGTCAAAACATTGCATGCATTATATCAACTCACCATTAGCTTCTCGCACTCAAGCGCTCGAATTCCTGCAAGTATATGCTCTTCAGCATCAATACGAGATTGCTCCTCGTCAATCTGGCAACAAGTGAGATCACCACGTATCAGTTATCAATGGTAGTATAGCGTTGACAAATTATGACGGCATACCTTTAAAAAGTGTTCATCAAACTGCTCGCACTTCTCCAGCTCGTTTTGGAACATTTTTTTCTCCGTAAGAAACTCATCAATTATTTTTTCAAGCGCCTTGTCGTAATTCTCGACCGCTGCTGCAACCTCAGCAGCCAATTTGATCTTCTTCTTTCGTAGTGCATCTTCTTCATTTTGATGCTCCTGCACCATCGTCGCTGCTCGTAACTCTAGCACAGACGCTTGATTCAACAACACCTTCATTTCGTCCGAATATTGGTCATATGATTTAGCTTGTGCTTCTTTGACGTCAGTTTCTATCATTGCCAATTCATGCGAAGCATTCTGCCACATTCAATAGAAAATTAGTACCAGAGATGCGCGAGCTTCTACGATTTGCAACATCGTATTACCTGATTAATTGCATTCAACTCGGCTCGCAGCTTTTGCACTTGTGCATCCAGCAGTGCGTCCTCATCTTCTCTAGCCTTGCGCGTCTCTTTAAGTTTTTCTCGAATTGCCGACCGTTCATCGTCCGCTTGCTTGAGCCGGCTTTCAGCCACTATCATAAGCTCTTTCTTTGACTTCGCATCCTCTAATGTCTTATCTAGTTGTGTGTGCGTAATATCCGCAAGCTCTGACAAGGTTTTCACCAGCATCTGCAAGTTTGCAGAGCGGCTGTGAGCTGCTGCTTCATTGTGGCGCAGCACCTCCACAGCTACTGGGTTTTCACGTAAGTCACGACAAAAGGCTCTTGCTGTTACTTGAACTTGGTTCGCGATTTCTTCGTGTCGAGGATCCATTGCTTGAATAGCCTGTAAATAAAGCTGCTCCCATCTCCAATGCTCACGTAACAGTTCGGCTGAGTTGAGGCATCGATCTTCGCGAAGTGAGTCCAACAGCGACGTTTGTGGCTCGAGTGGCACATAAGTGAGGTACTTTATGCGATCTAACAG